CGGAGCGGGTGATGTGGCGCTCGCTGCGGGGCGCGGTAGGAGCGAGCGGCGCGTCGGGACCGCAGACCTTCCTGGCATCCCGAGCACGCTGGTCGGGCTGGTGGACCGGAGCCTTCCTGCAGCTCGTGTGAAGCGCGAGTCTATGAGTAGCCGCGCGCGCCGATCCCGTGGAGTTACCGGCGCGGGGTTCCCCGGCTAGGTGCAGTGACTAGATCGTTATTACTTAAACCACGAACGAGGAGTAATTGCAAGCTCGAGGCAGTCGCAGGGATGATCTTTGCATGTTACAGAGTAATTGGTTTTAACAAAAAACGTGGAGCTTGAAGGTCACCTATCAAAACTTTGCCTGTTATCGCGCGCCGATCCCGTGGAGTTACCGGCGCGGGGTTCCCCGGCTAGGTGCAGTGACTAGATCGTTATTACTTAAACCACGAACGAGGAGTAATTGCAAGCTCGAGGCAGTCGCAGGGATGATCTTTGCATGTTACAGAGTAATTGGTTTTAACAAAAAACGTGGAGCTTGAAGGTCACCTATCAAAACTTTGCCTGTTATCACAAAGCCAAAGGATATGCAGAGATGGCGTGTAGACGTGAAAAAGCTAAATTGTTACCGTTTCATTTTGTTATATGTGTCTCAGGTTACTTGTTCCTTATTTTAAGTTTTTTGAAAACTTAACTCTTTGCCTAAGTGAGATTTCAAAAAGCATATATCATGCGTATGAAACTTTGAGGAAACATTTTACTGGGAAACATGGAGTAGGATAGCCACTTCACAGTTAAGGTTTCAACTGAGTTCGTTTTATAAGTTAATGTTTTGCTGTCTCCCCCAAAATAAAGGGAACCCTCCCCCCCTCCCCCCCAATAAAGTACCGGTTGGTAAAGGGAATGCTGTGTTAGATCTGGAGAAGAGATACAATTTTTCTATCTAATTTGAAGTGAATTATTGAAGAGGTTACAGAATTATAGTTATTTTAACTTGTTTCTTCTAAAACAAATTCTTGTTTGGTATTCATCAAAGGTGCATCTGCACTAGTGCTACCAATGTTGCAAACCTGTGTACACCACATCCAGGTGTAACACCATCTGATGTCCATATTTTTATCTGCTCTTGAGTTTGCAGCATTTCTAGCACTAGTGAAGCTGTATTTTTATTGCAAAATAGGTAAGTATAAACAGCAAAAAAAGGGGGGGGGCGCTAAAATGTAGATTTACTAAACTAATCTGTTTGAGATCATGTTACAGGACAAGAAAGAAGAAAATCTCTAACACTCTTTTTATGAGATCTCCCTTTGGTTCAGGAGAGCAGGCAATATAAAAGTAAGTGTAATGGTTTCTTCTCTATCATTTTAAGGGAAGAAAAGATGCATCCTTACAATGCTGCCTTTTCCACACACACTCACTCACTCTCTCTCCCTCTCAGCCCTTGTATCTCCTGGTGATTTCTTAAGAAGCTCAAATCTTGCAGAGAAACTGGGAAGAATATAGCACTGGAGGGAAGAAAGGTGAAATCCTTGAGAGAGGGAAAGAAGAAACTACTTAGGGACTGTAAATAGCAGAGAGTATAAGAAGCAAATAATATCAAAACTAAATAGCAAATGGACAGTTTGTTGAATGTATGCTGGAAGAAAGTCTGAGTTTGAAGTAAACTTTGTTTGTTGCTAGGTGCAGGGATGTTAAGAGGCCAGTATTTAACTAATTGAGTAGTTGATAAAAATTCTATCGACTACTCAATCGATAGGCAGCCTGGCTAAGTCCCGGTTCATGCCAGGTGCGGGACCAAACCTCCTTATGGTGCTGCAATTTAAAATGCAGTAGGGGCGGGGAGGCTGCCTGGGGCAGTAGGAGCGGGGGCATGAGCCGGGACTCTGCCAGGCTGCCTGTCCAGCTGGCAGCAGTCGCTGTCCATGGGGGGTCCCAGTGGGACATTGGGACCTCTGTGCACAGGGGTACTCAAGAATAGAGGCAGCAGCGAGAGGAGGGGGGGAAACCAGTGATACTGCCAGCTCCCCCCAGCACTAGCTCCTGCTTCTCCCTCCCCTTGCTGCCTCAGAGGGGAATGTGGATAGTTGACTAGTAGACTACTCCCTTACATCCCAAGCTGGGTGGTTGAGGTTTTTTACACTTACCTGCAACATTGTCATCAATTACATCACTTTCTAAAGGATGCATACAAAATGGAAGAATGTTCAAAAATGAAAAGTCATGAATGAGAGTACAGACTAGAGGACCTGGTGGAAGCTTTACAGTGCATTATCCTTCTCAATGTACAATGTGACGGTGGAATATGGTGGGGGGTTGTCTTTCGCTCTGATTCACCTCCTCAGTATTGTCTGCCTCATTCATCTTTTAATAGTGTCCTTCAGCAGTTTTTCCTCTTTGCTCTGAGTGGCAATTACAAACAGGAACTGTGATTTTAGAACATATATAAAAATGGTAGGATCCCCATCCTGTTACACTAACACCTCTTTTAGTATTTGCCTCTTGTGCTGTTAAAGGGTAAGTTCAAATTCCTTCTGAGATTCTTTGGGAGAAATTTCATTACATTCCTGAAAAACTAGGAATGGTGTTGAGATGGTCAGAATTTTTGGACAACTGTTCCATCTGGTTTAGATTTCTAATTTTGGTGAGCTTCCTGTAAGATAGGAGGACTGAGTTCTTGGTTTTTGTTAGGACTTATAGGTGTACTGGGGATTAAGTGACTGTGAGGTTGCTTTTTATGTAATTTACTATGAACCAGGATTATGCTGGCAGTAGCCTCTTTCACATTCCTTATTTGGCTCACCTTTATCAAGGTCAGAAATGTAATAACTGAAGCCCTCTTATCCAGAATACCCTGTGCTAGATAACCTGAGTAATAGTAAATCCCTGTGAAAACTGTTAGTTATCAGTTAAGTCATGTTAAGCAACACTCAGTGCTGCCCTTCTACATCCTCTTTCTGTATTCTATCCTTTCTGCATATCCTCTTTACGTTTCTTGACATTTCAACAACTCAGTTTTTACCAATGAGATTCACTCTCATCACCTTCTACATCCCATCCACTACAATACTGTGAGGAAATTGTGGTGACAGCTAGTGTCCCATGTGTGGCTGATCACAGTGGGGAAATTCACACCTCAGAATTGCTTTTGGCTCTCTGTAAACTCAGGAAGACATCACTGCAGGGACTTAACCTTCCAAATACAAAAAAAAAAAATGGTAATTTCACAAACTAGGAGGGCTAGAAATTTAGGGTTTGGTGGTGGCAGTGTGGCAAGGAGGTTAAACAAAAGTGTAGAGTTTGTCTACATGGTGTAATAATGTATACTACAGGGCATGATTTCAAAATGCACCAATATATAATTGCACATTAAGTGGTCTATAATGCTCCTAGTGCATATTGTTAGTGTAGGCTGTGTCTAGATTACATCCTTCTTTCGACAGAGGGATGTAAATTAGACACTTCGAAATTGCAAATGAAACTGGGATTTGAATTTCTTATGCTTCATTTGCATATTCACATCATGGTGCTCTTTCGAAAAAACGCCATGATGCGAATATGCAAATGAAGCACCGGAAATTCAAATCCCGGCTTCATTTGCAATTTCAAAGTGTCTAATTTACATCCCTCTGTCGAAAGAGAGATGTAATCTAGATGTACCCTTAGGAGGGATGTAATCTAGACAATCCCTTAGAATCTACAGGATGGCATAGTTCTTGCTCATAGGGTTTTATTCACCAGAACTGAAACTGTTAACTCATAGTATTGCTAAATCAGTTTCACTCTCTCTACTTCCGAAAGCACTTGTGGTAAAGCACACAGATAGTCATAGAAAACACAATGTGGTTTAAAAAGGAAGTATCAAATGTAACACCGCAAAGTAACACATAAAATGACTAAGTTTAATTGCCAGTAGGAAGAGAACAATACATCAAACAAGATTTGTTTGCTTAAATGTATTAAAATAATTGTATCCACAAGTGTGGCATTTCTGTAGTTTCCATAGACTTCTAGTATCTATAGTTTCGGAAGAGTTTATGTTTTCATTTGTGAAACACCAATTTGAAAATCGTATTTCTATGTGAAAATTCTGTATCTACTACAGTTTCCTAAGACTACAAAAACTGGGAGAGAGAATAGCATTAGACCCACTTCTAAGTGCAGTCTTAAAAGGCCTTTGAAGCAGGATACCTGGCAGCTACCAGGGAACACTGGTAGCATGTCAAACTTTGCACTCCTTCCTGTAACCCCACTGAAAGAATTTTTGGTCCAATGAAAAAAATACATAAATACCTGCATCCTGCTTCAAAGGCCTTTTAAGACTGCACTTGAAAGAGAATCCTCTGAACTGTCATTTATGCTTAAATTTGACACTTTATGCCTGAGTTTGAATAAAGAATCTAATTACCTTACCCATTACAAAGATAGCTTCCCCAATTATCACCTCTAATATCATTAGCTCACAGACATTTACCTCCTCCCCCCCCAATCTCCCTTCTGTTCTGAAATATGATTTGTCCTTTTCATATGTGTTCATTTTTTTAATTGTATCCTTTGGTATATATGGTTGTGACAATTTTCTTCCACTATTTGATCTGAGGAAGTGGGTCTGGCCCACGAAAGCTCATCACCTAATAAACCATCTTGTAAGTCTTTAAAGTGCTACATCGTCCTGTTTTTTGATTCAGCTACACCAGACTAAGACGGCTACATTTCCATCACTATATAGTTAGTGTCATTGTTGCTTTTCAGTTGCATTTCCTCTTCTTACACTGATTTGTATCTATACCATACAGGATTGTGATGACGTCACTGATACGGGGCTTTGAAGAGCTCAGGTTCATGCTCTTCCCTGGATCTCCCTGAGCCTCTTGTATCTGAGCATCACTGTGGTATGGGAGGCTATAGAAATGTGAAGTGCTATGCAAACAATAAGTAGTGGCATGCAGTGTTCCCTCTGTCGAAGCAAACGCCTCACTCAGTTTACACGGCTAAACAGACAGTTTTATTGGCCAATAAAAGCAAAGTGAGCCAAACGTGGTCCCAGCAAAGTCGGGCCCAGTAAGGCAGGCTAATACAATCAATCCTAGTATTTTATACCCTTAACCAAACAAGTCTGATGTCAGGGCAAGAAATCAAAGAGAACTTCAAAGAGGAATTATTATCAGCATAGAAAGAAACAGGTTAAAAGGGAGTTCAAGCTTCAGCTCAAAATAGTTCATTAACACATTCCAACAGCGCATCCCTCTGGTCTCTCCCCACCTCGGTGAAGGCCAGTTCACTCCCTCGTTCAGACACAAGAAACTGAAATGGCTTTTGTTATACAGAATGGCTTCTAGCTAAATATGAAATGGTATCTATAACTCCCCCCTTTTAGCCTTTTAAAGGCTAACTTTGAAGCCATTTCATGCCTCTATTTTCATCAAAGCTTTTATATACATTTCTTGTTCTTTTCTTGCTCATCATATTTGAACATCATGAGTTCTACATTCCCTTTGGTAAGGGTCTGTCTTGTGTTTTCCAGAATGCAAGAAATACAGCATTTGAGTAACAAGAAACAAAAATAAACACAAAAGAATATAGCTAATACTAAAACTACACCTTGCAGAATCTGTTTTCACATGTCTAAACCAGCCTCTCAACCAACCCCAGAGGGTTCAGTTTTCCTGCTGCCTTAGGTGTTCCACAGTTGTTTCAATCTCTGAGGCATCTTCCTCCATTTCCTTGCTGGTGTCAGTGATATACACACATCATTCCTTTCCCACTAAGGCACAAACCCCACCCTTACTAGCTAGGACATAGTCTAGGGCCATTCGGTTTGGGCTTTTTCCCCACCTTGGCTCCTGAACCATTACATGTCCAGCGGTACTTTCCAATTGGGGTCAAGGCTAAGCAGATATACCCTAGGTTAGGTTTTCACATGTCTAAACCAGCCTCTCAACCAATCCCAGAGGGTCCAGTCTTTCCCCTGCCTTAAGCGTTCCACAGTTTTTTTCAATCTCTGAGGCATCTTCTTCTACTTCTTTGCTGGTGTCAGAAATATACCCACAGCATTCTCTTCTTACTAAGGCACAAACCCCGCCTTTACTAGCTAGGACATAGTCTAGGGCCATCGGTTTGGGCTTTTTTTTCTCACCCTGGCTCCTGAACCATTACATGTCCAGCAGTACTTTCCAATTGGGGTCAAGGCTAGGCGGATATACCCTGGGTTAGTAAACCTTTTTTTTTTTCTTGTCGAGTTTAATTTGGCTTAGTTCACTAAACAGTGTGCCATATTTGAGTGTTGTTTAGTGGGACTGGAATCATTGGGATGCCTCCTTCTGAATGTACAGGACTGTGAGCACATATCTAGCAACCTGTGGAATTAAATTCTTGGGAAACTTGGTTCATTAAAAGCATAAACACATTTAAACCATATAGGTTATAACTACTAGGTATTAAAAACAAGATTAAGCATAAGCTCAACATGAATTGTTTGTCCAGCCTCATGCTGGCTGTTCTTCAGGACTTCGTAGATTGCTTCACCTATCGCTGGAAGGTCCTTCTGGGCCGCAGCTGGTACCTTGGCCTCGGTCTTTTAGGATCGTCTGCTTCAGGGCTTGGATTGCCGGTACCAAGCCTGTGCTGATCCTCGTCTGCTTCTGGACCTGGGTCTCCGGTCCTAGGTCTGTGGTGCTCCTTGTTGGGGCCAACTTCTGTAGGGGCCAGGACAGGTTTGCAGTGGGATGCGTGAATCCAGGTGGGCAATCCTTCGCACTTTACAGCAGTATGGGTGGTCAGAAGGACTTGGTAGGGACCTTTCCACCTGGGTTCCAGGGCAGTCTTTCGCTGGTGAACTTTCACGCAAACCCAGTCTCCTGGATGTAGTTTATGGCACGGCTCAGTCGGGGCCTCCTGGAAGGCGTCCTTAACCTGTGAATGATAAGACTGTACACACCTCATAAGTTC